GGTGTAAAGTTAGTCAGGACCTGTTTCTATAAGCTATAAGCTCAGCTCTCTGACCAAGTCACTTGACAGACACTTTGAAAACTTCTCTCTGAGATTTACTTAATGATATTTAGTTGGCTAGGACTGCCATAACAAAATACCACAGACTGGCTGGCTTAAATAACAGCAAAATTTGTTTCACAGTATGGAGGCTGGAAGTCCGAGAGGCCCTTCTCCTAGACAGCAAATGGCTGTCTTCTCTCTGTTTCTAACATGGCTTTTTGTCTTCATGGAATGAGAGATCTCTCTAGTGTCTCTTCATCTTATAAGGACACCATTCCAATTAGATTAGGGCCACACCCTTATGAGCTTATTTAACCTTCATTACCTCTTTGAGGGCCCTATCCCCCAATACAGTCACTTTGGGAGTTACGGCTCTAAAATATGAAGTTGGGGCTGGGAGGCACAACTTAGTTCATAACAGATGGGTCAAGAGATAAGAGTTTTCTAGCGGGGAGGAGAGCAAAGGGTGGTATGACTTACACATCAGATCCAGAAGAATCTTGTGGACCATTGTAAGGACTTTTTTTTTTTTGAAATGAGATGGGAAGCTGTTGAAGGTTTTTAAGCAGTCAGTCACTATCTGATCCTACCCATGATACTAATTTGAGAATACAGGAAAACAGTAGCTAAGCAGAGACACTAGTCAGGAGACAATTGTAATAATCCAAGCAAGAGATGATGTCTTGGACCAAGGTGGATTTATGGAGGTGGTAAAAAGTGGTCAGATTCTAGATTTATTTTGAAAGTAGAATGGACAGAATTTGCTGATAGTTTGGATAAGCAGTGTGAAGGAAAGAGAAAAGCAAAAGGGTGGCTGCAAGATTTTTGCCTGAGTAAGAAAACTAGGGCTGGCTTGTTAAGCTCACTTGGTTAGAGCACAGTGTTATAACATCAAGGTCAAGGGTTCAGATCCCCTTACCAGCCAGCTGGCAAAAAGTATTGGAAAGAGTAGCTTTGGGGGAAGATAGTTGCATTTCGGCTTTGTAAACATGTTAGTGGTGTCACATTTACATTGTTTTATGTTTTTTATTTTCAGCAATATATTCAGTATCCTTCCATTCAGTTCTAGGTACCATTTCATGTCAGTACATATAGATATACTGTATTTCTTTTAACAGATATTTTTTTTTTCGTTAAATTTTTATTTTGTCAATATACACTGTATATGATTATTATGGCCCATCACCGACACCTCCCTCCCTCCTCCCTCTCTCCCCTACCCCCAAGAATGTCCTTTCCATTTGCTTGTTGTAACAACTTCTTAAAAGTATAGTTGTTATATCTTCTTCCCCACCCCCCCCGGGGTTTTTTTGTGTGTGTATGTGGGTGAATTAATTTGTTTGTTTGTTTTTTTTAGCTCCCACCAATGAGTGAGAACATGTGGAATTTCTTTTTCTCTGCCTGACTCGTTTCACTCAATATTATTCTTAACAGATATTTTTAATTATTGTGTTTTATTTGAAAAATACATGTGTGCCAGGCATTGTTCTATGTCCTTTACAAATATTAACTCACTTAAGAGTATATTATCAGAGTTGGTATTAGGATTATTATTCCTCATTTACAAACAAGACCCCAAGGGGTTGGTTTACCCAAGTTGCATCACAAGAGAGTAGTAAAGCCACTGCATTATATTGTATCATATAACTGTTATAATTCACTTAACCAACCCCCCACCATAAGAAATTTGGTGGTGGCTCCAACTTGGTGGTGATTATATGTTGCATAGGGCATATTATATCTTTGGACATTGGTGTGTGTCTGTAGGACAAATGAGAGCAGTAATACTGCATCAAAGGATATACTTGTACATCTTGCTTATTTAATAGATGTCACCAATATGACCTTCGAAAAAGTAATTCTAGTTTATCCTTCCATGGCGCCCGTTTTTTTCCTTCTTTTTATAATTCTCCAATTTGGTAATGTTTCTGCTCATCTCCCTGTGAATTCTAAAGCAGCACAACATGTTTGTAATGGTTCCAAATAGCCTGTTTAAATCCTGTGCTTCATGTTAAACTCATAACAGTTGTTGGAGAACATAACAAATAATGAAATTCAAGCCACGGAATGTGCCTGTGTGAATGGGTACTACGCATTGTGTTTGAACTGAGGTGGGGTGAGGCTGTACAAATATCAATTTATCAGGTCACTAACTCCTCCCCAAAGGTAACCACTATGCTGATTTCTAACCATTAGGTTAGTTTTGTATGTCTTTGAACTTTGTACTCTTTTGTTTCTGCTTCTTTCTCTCAACATCATGTTTGTGAGATTCATGTTTGTGTGGCAATAATTTATTCTCGTTGTACTAGTATAGTATTCCAATAAATGAATATACACTCTGCTGTTGATGTATAGTGGATTGTAAACAGGTTTGGATGATTAAGGATAGTGCTTCTTTGAACATTGTTTTAAATGCCTTCAGGTGGACACATATATATACTTCCTAGCAATGAGATTGTTTTGCCATAGGGTTGGCAAACATTCAACTTCATTAAATCTTGCCAAATGGTCTTTAAATTGGGCGTACCAATTAATACTTCCACCAGCAGTATATGAAAGTTCCAGCTGTTTTACATCCTTACCAGCACTTGGTGTGTTGTGTTTTTCATTTTAGCCATTCTGATGGGTATGTAGTGGTGTTGCATTTGGGTTTTAATGTGCATCTCCCTGATGATTAATAGAGTTGGGTATGTACGTTGCTTGGCAGTTCGATGCCTTGTGTCAGAGTATCTGTGACTGGGTTATTTCCCTGAGAATAGAGGAGTACTTCCACAGCTCTTCCCACCCGCCCACCCAAGTGAAATCTTAAAGAAAACACCAAAATATATAAAACAAATTAAAAGGGATATTTCTTGAGAGGCGGTGTAGCGTGGTAATTAAGAACACAGATTCTAGAGGCAGATTGCTCCATTAGGAATCCTTGTCTTGCCAGTTTGCTACCTGTGTGACTTTGGGCAAGTTTGCCTCAGTTTTTTCATGTCTAAAATGAATGTATGAGGGTGCTTCAGAAAGTTCATGGAAAGATTCGTATTATCTTTTAATTCTATTTTTCCATGAACTTTTTGAAGTACCCTTGTAACAATAGTACTTTCATCACAACATTAATATCAGGCTCAAATAAGTTTATATACAGTTCTTAGGATAGTACGTGGTACATAATAAGCAGTGTATAATGTTAGCTGCTATTAGTGGTGGTTATGGTGATATAAGATTATTTTATGAATTCACATCAAGTTAGCTGATGAGAATAATGAGGCTCTACAGTTGAACAGAAATTTGAAATTAAGGGCTATGGGTGATAGTCGGATTTTATTTTAGCCTCAGCACCCAATTTTTTGTTTTGGTTGCATGTTATCAAGAAAATATTGATTCACAAAGATGAGCAATTGAAAACATATATGGTTTGGTAGTCTCAGTATTCCATTAAGCTTTTAGATAAGTATGACAAGAAGTAGTAGAAAATGTTTATTTTAAAATTGTTGTTAAATATCTATAGTTTTCTTGGATTTCTTGTTTTTAAATAAAAATAGAAGAAGCACCAAAAATCATGATGATTTCGACATCTGTTGTGTTATCACAACACATCTGCATTGCAGGTTTATTTGTTATCACTTTCAGTCACAGGATAAGATGAACAGCAGATGTTCTCCACCCTTGCCTGACATGATAAACTGTGTTCCCTGGGTCCTGTAGGGTGTGTTTACTCACTGGTACAAATTTAATGAGCCAACAACATATAGGCTTGAATTAGAAACTAATAAAACAAAAAGCTACAGTTTTCCTGTTAATGACATGTTTTCAAGATATTCAAACAAATTGTGGGAGGTAAAGGTACACAAACCAAAATACTTTTACTGGGCAGTACAAGTTATGCTTTGTTTGGTGTCTGATGTATTAACACTAGGAGTATAAAACAGTCGTGTATGTGCTGTTGCAGTATTAGTTCATGATGGTTACTTCTACAGCTATTTGCCACAGTCCAAGGCTGTGGATTACAAACAGCCTTGCATGTTTGCAGCTAGCGGCCCTTATACCAAGAGAACATTTCCAGCTATTCTAAGGCTTTCAAACATGCTTAAATTAGTATCTTGACAAGCTCCTCTACCACCAGCTTTATTTCTCTCCACCAAACTGTCTCCCACTGCTCTGTAGCCGGTAAGGATGCCTCTAGGCTGACCATCTCCCCTTTGCCTCACGACTAGCACGGTTTTGTGTTCCCTTCACAATGTCTGCATTGCTCTATTACCATCTCTCTGAGTCCTGTCATTTCTTTGTAGTCCTGGGTGGACTCCACCTCCTCTTTGAGTCATTCCTGTTTGCTGTCAATCATTCTTTCCTGTGTAATCCTGTTCTGACATTTTGTATCTCAAGGTCTGACACTTTTTAAAAAAATATCGTAAGGTTGTACTCTTTGAGCACTACCACAAATCAGTGCCACTCACAAAATCCATCAGCAGAGGGAGCTAAATAAAAGAAGATGAGTCCCTGAAACTGAGAAGACCTGAAGCAGCAAAAGTACTTATAAACAGTGACACTTTCACAAACTGCCAGTACTGAAAGAGATTGAATAGTGATAAACATCAATGATTTGGGCCCTAATTCCAGGTTAAAACTTGTGTGAAGTGATTTGTAAGAAGTGTTTTTGAAAGAGATAATTCATTCCATATCATGTTAAAAACCTATATAAGGGGGATGACCTGGTAAACATATGCTTAGAGAACCAAGGTGATGTTTAGGGTTGTTTTTGTTTGTTTTTTCTCCTGTTTCCTCCCCTCTGAAAGTTTTAATTATTAAGGATGATGAAATGAGGTCACTGCTTTGTGAAGAATTTCATGTAGAGCACTGAGTCCTAAAGTTGCTAAGGATTATGGATAACCCATTCCAAGTTTTAAAGATGGACTTTTTCACATAAATTTCTTATGTTTTGTTTTGATTAAGTGTATGTATCTTAATTTCAGTTAGCAGACTTGAAGAAAGAGAAGCAGAACTGAAGAAGGAATATAATGCATTACATCAAAGACACACTGAGGTGGGTTTCTGGGTTGTTCTTACCATGCTAATATTGAGACTAATTAACCTTAGAAAGTATGTCTTAATTTTTCTTTGAAAATCAGTTATAATAATTCTTCAGGATTATTTCCGGAAAACATTAAATTTCATGTGGTATTTATCTTCATTACCAAACATCAACTTTTCTTGTTTTTTAAGCTGGAATTCATGTGGTGAATTAGTATGCCACAGAATAATTTAATTATTTAAGACAATTCCAAAACTTGTCTTCTTGTCTGGCTAAGCAAAAACCTATGTGCACATAGTAAAAACTTTACATGATGCTAAGATGAGAGAATCGATTTGTTTTGTTACCAGTTTGGAAATGATGGATTAGGTAAGGATCTCTACATTTATAATCCAGTATTAAGGACTTCTTTGCATTAAGCTCAAAACAAATAACTTAAACACAAACTATGTATTAAATCCAAATGACTTTAAAACAGGTTTTCTGCATGAATTTTCATTATTTTAAATGAATAATTTCAGCACATAATTTCTTCAAAGCAAATTAGAAAATGTACTTGGATAGTTTTTTTAACCTTCTATTTATTATTCTCCACCAGCCTTTCATATGTTGTATTTGTTTCTATTTCCTTAATGTGAAAATTGTTTTTGTGTATCATGGTCAGTCTGAGGTTCATATACCCAAATAAACAGAATTTTCGTAGATTCATGTAATATTCATTACATGAAAAAATAATTCCTCTCTCTTTCCCTTTTTAGTCCTCTCTCTCCCATGATACAAATGGTCCCTGTCTTTAGCTCCCATTTTTCTTTCACTAGTTTTGTGTGATCTCTTATCTTGCCTCTCGTACAGACCTATGTTGTTGCTTTTAAGGAACATAAAACCCCCACCACACTCAGATTCATTTGCTTTGGAATACACCGTTAACTCTTTTCTTGGGGATGGGTTAGAATTTCTTCCTGTTAGTCCTGACAGATAAGGTTTGATTATTACTATCTTGGCTTAGTAGCCACACCCGAAGCATGAAGTGTCACAGAATGGATATCCAGTGGTAGAGGGAAAAGATTAACCATGAAGGGCTGGAACCACCAAGGGTGCTAAGAAGACAGGAGCAGGTTATACAACAGCTTTTTCAGTCTGTAAAAAATATCCACATTTTAGTAAGATGAAATTTGGTGAATATTAAGGCTTTAAAAAACGATTGTTGAAAGCCTATTGTTGATGCTCTTTACACCATTTATTTCAATGCCTGAACAATGCCCTGTGTATAGTGCTTATCAATGCTGAAAATTATATTTTGGGAGAATATATTTATATGTCATAAGCAATTGATAGTGATGAACAGTGAATAATGCTTTTGTTTTTTCAGTGAGGTTTTAACCTTTGTAATAATTAAGGATTATTAAATTATGGCGTTAAATTGAAGTATGTACAAAATGTATGCATTCTTGAAAAATCAATTGTAAAGTGAAATTTCATATTTTTCCCATATATTTATTTAATAAAAGCAAAGATATGTTCCTACAGAAAACAACTGACATTAACTCCAAATGAAAAGATATAATAATTTTTTTTGTCTATTTTTATTCCTTTAGGGAAGGACAGTCCAGGAAGAGAAAAAGATCTCAGGAAAATCTTAATTACCAAGTCAGAGAGCTGGGCCTGTCCAGTAACCAAGGCAGATTTCCCATGTAGCACGACAGCTCTTTTCATAGCATCCCCTTCCTCAGTCACAGGCAGCTTCTATCCTCTGCTTGATAGGCTCCCTCCCCCTCTTTTTTTTTTAGCCTCAAGGCAGGTTTATGTAACACTGATATGGCTGCTTCGAAATGTAGGTCTGTTCTCTAGCCCACAATTTTCTGTGTTTATATATCTGTTTTAGAGATGCCACTCAGTTAGAAATTATAAATAGCTATCTAACCCTAAAAAACTAAGTGCCCTTTAGAGGTAAGCTCTGGAAACCTTCAGGGAAAGGAAGTAGGAGGGTTTTAACCTTAACCTTTTTACTATTACTTCCAAAGAAGGTAACATCTTTTACAGGCACAAAATAGTTGTTTAAATAGAACTTTTATCAAACACACTGCTGCTTAAGGGAAACCTACTCTGGCTCTTTTTTTAATGTGAATAACTCTAATCAAATCCAGAATTTTGTACATATTACTGAATTTGCTTAACAGAAGACATTTTAAAGAGGGCACTGAGGAAATATAAAGGTCAAGTAATTATGAAGCACTTTGGCCACATGTGTACAACCTCTTACACTAATCACCAAAAATGTGAACCCTTTGCAATCCTGGGAGGGTCTCACATCATGGAGGGTTCAAATGCATTCTGATTTCATCCTCTGACCACCCCTATCATCCATCCCATTTTACAGATTGAAGTTTAGAAAATAAAGACTGTGAGGTGATTTTTCCCAAATCCCATGCTAGTTAGTGACTAGATTTTAAGCCAGGTCTGTCTGATTCTATTGCCTGAACATTCATTAACACTTTTAGGTCTCATGTGCACTAGACATTTTTCTGTGTTTCTTTGCTATGGCATCTCAACTACTTTTATATTAGTGGCTTTGCAGATATAGGTGTGTGATTTGGGGGCTCCATATGGAAAGATTCAAAGCCAACATGATTAAAGGGATCCATGCCACTTGTCTTCAGAACTTCACCATGCCTTGCTTTTCGGATTTAGCAAATGTTGACTGGCAGTCAGCCTGTGCTGTGAAGATATCTTGTGGGAGGGGAGTTGGGGCCTTTCCCAAACCCGGATTTTCTAAACAGTGTGCTGGGGATCCTTCTTGATGCCTCCAAGTGTTTGTTGCTGAATTGACTTCTGAATATGAGTGAATTAATATGCATACCTAAGAAAATTGAGAATTGCAGTTCTGAGACCAGGAGGGATGGGACTGATGGACCCAATAGTAATTATCTATAGCATGCCCTATTTTATTCTTTTACCTCCCTTTTCTATCTGGCTACACTGGTCCTGCCCTCCACTCACTTTTTTTTTTTTTTTTTAACCAGCACTGTGAAGCCCTATTAATAAAATTAAATTTTTTTAATTGTCCATTTTAACAATTTTATTTACTTATTTATTTGATGGCTGGCTGGTATGGGGACCCAAATCCATGACCCCGGTGTTACAAGGCTGTGTTCTAAACAACTGAGCTAACTAGCCAACCCCTAAAATTTAAATTTTTATGTACAATTTATTTTTTCTACTTTTGTCCATGTATAGAATATAATGCATATTATTTTATTACAGATGTCAAGAAATGCTTTAGGGTGTGGGTTTCTCTTGTGGGTGTGAGGAAGAAAGGACAATGAACTCATTGCCTGCTGAGAGAATTAACTAAAAGGGCAGATACAGCAGGAGTCCTATAATTCTCAGATGATTGAATCAGACCATCCTGAATTCTGGCCTCAAAGCTAATGACAGAGAACAGTTAATCATTAACTAGCTGATCAATTTGGGCAAGTTATTTCAATCCTTGTAAGCTGGAGTTTATAAAATCACGATTTTGTGAGAATTAAATGAAAAAATGACTGTAAATGCACTGGCTGACATGTAGTTGATGCTCAATAAATGACAGCTGCCATTCTGTTGTAATTTTTCTCCCATTAAGCGCTGCTATAGCTGGGTTAGAACCAATTTCATTATATGGACCATTTTGGAATGTCAGGATACTATATCTGTAGTTACTTGAGATCAGTCATATGAAGGAGGTTTAGAATTAAATTTAATAATTTAAGACAATAGAGAATCAATCTATAGAATAGGCTCTTTTGGGGAGAAATGATTCTATCTTTGCATTTTGTCTCTAATTCTTTTTCCATACTGAGTAAATGGATTATTATTAAAGCAATCTGAGGGAAATTTCTGTTTTCTTCATCTGAATGTTTGAAGAAACTTAAATTCTTCCATTTGAACAAATCAATTCCATATGATTACTATCCAGTATATAAGAATTCTACTTAGGCTTTCTGAAACCTTTTGAAAATTTGAATTGACATCTAATAGGCCCACCAATCACTTTGTTACATTAGTCTCGGTTTAATTTTTTTTCTGAAAGTTCTTCCTGGTACAAGAAGAAAATAGCTTCTTATTTCTGACTTGCTAACACAAAGACAAAAGCTGTATTTCTGCAAGATTGTTCTTAAATGGTGGTAAAGAGAAAAATCTGTAAATTTAAAATAAAAAGTATGTTAATTTAAAATTTTTAAAAATGCTTTCATGGGCCGGCCTGGTGGCGCACTGGAGAGTGCGCCGCTTGGGAGCGTGGCGGCGCTCCCGCCGAGGGTTCGGATCCCATGTGGAGACTGGTTCTCGCTCACTGGCTGAGCGTGGTGCGGGCGCAACACCGAGGGTTGCGATCCCATTACCGGTCAGTAAAAAAAGACAAAAAGGGAAAAAAAAAAATGCTTTCACATATCATATCCATGTGATTCTATGTTCATTTTTCTTTTTCTTTTCTTTTCTTTTTTTTTTTTTATTTTTTAGGAAAATCTCTTCCCTTAATCTATGTTCATTTTTTCTTTGCTGATAACATTTTTTTTTTTTTTTGTCTTTTTTCGTGACTGGCAACGGAAAGCAACCCTCAGTGTCGCGCCCGTACCGGACCGGGACCGGCAATGGGATCGCAACCCTCGGTGTTGCCCCCGCTCCTCGCTCAGCCAGTGAGCGGCTGGTCTGCATGTGGGATCTGAACCCTCGGTGGGAACGCCGCCGCGCTTCCCAAGCAGCGCACTGTAGCAGTGCACCACCGGGCCGGCCCCTGCTGATAACATTTTTTGTTTGGCATAGTCTTAATTGGGTAACAGTCTCATTAATTTTTTCATTATATTTGGCTTGGTAGAATTACATGTTTATTTTCATGCATTAGAGTTCAGCTTTTGGTTTGACTAAGTAACACCTTAAAATTAACTTATATTTCTTAATTTTTGTACATGCAAGTAAAATTTTCACAGTAGAAGCATCGTTTTTGGAAGTAAATTTAAAACGTGTTTAAAATCTTATTTCATTTAATAGTTATTTAATACACCACAGTACATATTTTGTTAAGTTGAGATTGAAATCCTAAAAATAATACAGCTAAAGTTTAGTAACTCTTTTTCTTTCTTTTTATTTTTTTAAAAAGATGACTGGTAAGGGGATCTTAACCCTTGACTTGGTGTTGTCAGCACCATGCTCTCTGAAGTGAGTGAACTGGCCATCCCTCTGTAGGGATCCGAACCGATGGCCTTGGTGTTATCAGCACCACACTCTCCCAAGTGAGCCACGGGCCGGCCCAACTTTAGTAACTTTCAAAGCTATTCCATTCTGCAATGTTAAGAATTCAGTTAATATTCTCAAAAAGTACATCTTTTCTTGCATCTTAATATTTACACCCTTTAAAATACTAACATACTATTTCTTTTTTTTTTCCTTTTTGTCTTTTTTCGTGTCTGGCAACGGATTGCAACCCTCCGTGTTGCACCCGCACCTCGCTCAGCCAGTGAGCGGGAACCGGTCTGTATGTGGGATCCGAACCCTCGGTGGGAGCGCCAGTGCGCTCCCAAGCGGCGCACTGTAGCAGTGCGCCACCGGGCCGGCCCCTATTTCTTGTTTTTTAACATTAATTTTTTTCTTGGGCTGGCTGGTTAAGTCAGTTGGTTAGAGTGTGGTGCTGATAACACCAAGGTCTAGGTTCGAACCCTGTATGGGCCAGCCACAAAAAAAAGAAAAAAAAAAGAAAGAAAGATTTCTTCTTACTCATATCATGTTAGTATAGGCTTTCTGACTTTATGATTGAAATTTGTTGCCATTTTACTTTTCTTAATTCCAGATTTAAGATTCTTAAAAGTGAAACTGTGGATTATCAAGAATCAATTAGGACCTTAGAATTTCTTGACAGTTTATGAACTTTATATTCTTGAAGATTTCATTTCTATATTCAGCTTGTTTATCATATGGTTCTAAGACTCAAAATCAAAGTGTTCTCATTTTTTTTACTTGCATTAATTTGCTGCCATTATTATAGATGATTATATTAAGTTATAATACCAGTAAATTAGCAGTTAAAGGAGAAAACATTTAAACATTTTTTTCAACTAAATCTGCAGAAATAAGAAATAAACATCTCGGGGGGCTGGCCAGTTAGCTCAATTGGTTAGAGCATGGGGCTGATAACATCAAGGTCCAGGGTTGTCCAGGGTTCAACCCCTATACTGGCCAGCCACCCCCCAGCCCCCTGAAAAAGAAGAAATAAACATCTTGGTACTTAATTAAACTATATTACTTAAATTGAAAGTGACCTTTAATCCCCTTTAAAATGGAAAAGATTAACATGTAAGGATATGGTTTCTATTCAAGTTTCACATTAGTTTCTTTGTTGTTTTCTATTTTAATGAGTGGATTTCTCAAATGCAATCTATTTTAACTAGTGGTCTCTTATCACCTCCTACCCAATGTCTTTGTACTCATTTGTGTTATTTATGTCAATATTATTGCATTTAATAGCATCACATATTGTAAAAGAAGTTTTTTGCTATGGTATGCAAGATATTGGCTACTTTTATGGATACCGGCATCCTTAAATGTAATTATTTACATATTCCTTTGCCATTAAAAGAAATTTCACTCCTTAATATTCTTTTATACAGAATTGGGTAGTTTGATAAATCAGAAAATTGTATAAAAATGTTTCTCATTATAACTTTTATTTTTATTCCATCCATTAGTCTTAAATTTTGTGTATTTTTTTCTCTCTTTAAAATAGATGATCCATAATTATATGGAACACTTAGAAAGAACAAAACTTCATCAGCTCTCAGGAAATGATCAACTAGAATCCACAGCTCATAGTAGAATTAGGTAAGCTTTGTTGTACATTATGCCTTGAGAAAAAGTGAAATGAATAATCTGTTTGTTTCTGTTTTTCTCTGTTCTTTAATCCTGGAACAATAGTTAGGCTGATTCAAAAGCTCTCCACTGTGGTAGGAATGCTGTAGGAGAGAATGGCATAGAAAAATAGAAACAGCCTTCACTATTAGAAAGATAAATTATGAGCCATGCCATAGAAGCAGCATATCGAGGTATTTTCATTGTTATCTAATACTTAATGGAGATTATACTAGCTTTAAAATGTTCTAATATGTGGGAATGCTGAAAATTTTTCATCTCTCCTGTGTAATTGGTTTAAAGTCCTTTTTGTTACAGAGTCATGGTTGAAAGGGTTAGCTAGCCATCTGTTTGATGTAGGAGTGTGAATAAATTATGTAGATCTCTGGGCATCGTAGCCAATGAGCTAAGCCAGGACTCTTAGTGGAGGGGAAAATAGTTAATAGGCTGGCCGTCGCTCTGGGTTGCTGCATAAATGCTAGGAACAGCAGCTCTATGGTTATGAGGTGGGGAGAACGGAGTGACGTCATCGCTTGGGAGCTGCTGCAGGACGGAGTGGAAAGCTGCTGCTGATGGCATTGTTTTTGTGGCAGCAGCTGAATGACAGATCCTCACTACAAAGATACCCCTTTGGCCCCCGTGTAGGCCTCCTGGTTCGGGTGTTTCACCATGCCAGCACAGCGCCATGAGTCCTGGATGCATGCTGCTGTTTGTGTTTGGCTTTGTTGGCGGGGCGGTGGTCATTAACTCTGCTATCTTAGTATCTCTCTCTGTTTTGCTGCTTGTGCACTTTTCTATTTCTACCGGTGTGCCAGCTCTGACGCAGAACCTGCCAAGGATACTCAGGTACTCCAGTCTCTCTTGGAAGCTCCTCCTTAGCTGGTTTTTAAAAAAATTTTTAGGTCCACAGGTCTGCTTTGTAACCATTTCTGTTGCAGATTGAAACAATGGAAAATGGCCTGAAGCTAGGATTTCTATTTTTATTTAGAGTAATTTATGGGCCATCACTTAGGAATATTGCTTTGTGTTTGGAAACTAAGAAACAAAGAAGAGGATTTTTGTATTGTACTTATAAACAAGTAGAAGGTCAGTGTGGTCTTGTTTTAAGCAGAATGTTCAAAGAGTAAAGGGAGAGCAGGAGTAGAGCACTGGGTCCAAGTTTATACAACCTCTGCAGTTAGCTTCTGAGCCTTTAGGGGCAAATTTATGCTGGGACTTGCATTTGAATAGACACAGACCATAGGTTTATTTTTTTCCAATTATCCGTTGACTGATGGAGGTTCAGGTATCATTTTTGTGATTTTTGATAAGAGCTCATGAGAACTGACAATTTAAATATTTTCCTCCTAAAACAAAATATATTTTAAAGTTGTAGGATTTAAACTTTTTAGGGCAAGGAATTCGGTTTTTCCCCATTATTTACACATCAAAGTTGTGAAAGCTTTACAAAGCCTATTCACTATTGTGTTGTCAGATGTGGCCCTTTCTTTTCTTTGCAGTCCTGGATGACAAATACCCATGTCTGCATTGGGGGTAGTCATTAATTTCTGTAGCTGTACTGCTGCTTACTCTGCTTAAGAGCCTGTAAGAGCCATCTTCCACATCTCAGAGGTTTAAGGTTTTGATTCCTTTTGTTTTCTAACTCATCAAACTAAAAGTATCTGATTTATTCAGTTTTCTGCTTTGTGTGTGGTTTTAAGTGAAGGTTCCTAGTTCCTATTTACTATTTAAACGTGTACAAAAATAATTGAAGTCCTAATTGTGGATTTAGATAAATTAAGAAGAGTTAAAGTAGTAAATTCCCTCAATGTGTTCCTTTTTATTCATAGGTCAGTTCATGTTTAGTATTAGTTTAAGGCCCCCAAATTAGATTTCATCTGTGGTCTAAAACTACACTTGGCTATTTATTTTCTTTCTTGATTTTAAAAGTTGGGAACACTCTTATTACTTGTATATATTTTAGTAAATAAAAGATTTGGTATATGTGTATATGTTTATTTAGGCATTGAGGAAATTGAAAATACCCAAACTGAAGAATTCATAGAATACTAAAATAAGACTAATGTTACCAGGTTCCCTGGGTACAAATGCTCTGCCATGTGTGAGTTGTAGGACCTTTGCAAGTTGCTTAAGCTCTCTGTGCTTGAGTTTCCTCCTCTGAAGATGCTTACCCCATTGAGTGAATTTAAAGGTTATTTGTGTTTAATTATAGTTGAAAGATATTTAGTAAATTGTACAACTAAATAATTTTTTTTTACAAGTAAATAATTTTTATAGTCACTTATATGTACCCCATTTTTATTTTTTATTTTTTTATTTTTTTATTTTTTTATTTTTTAAAGATGACCGGTAAGGTGATCTTAACCCTTGACTTGGTGTTGTCAGCACCATGCTCAGCCAGTGAGCGAACCCGCCATCCCTATGTGGGATCCGAACCCAGGGCCTTGATGTTATCAGCACCGCACTCTACCGAGTGAGCCACTGGCCGGCCCTATGTACCCCATTTTTAGCAGAATTGTTTTGGCTCTAGCTATTTTATTGGTAGAATACCTGATGATTAAATTTTAAAAGTGCCTTGACATAAAAGTTGCTGTTGATCTGACTGAATAAAGATATCAGCATCTTCAATATTAAAGTTAAATTCTTGAAAAGTAGGTAGTTCCAACTAGGAAGTTCCAAGTAAAGCACATGGGCCTTAGAGTTGAATAGACCTGGCTTTGAATCTCAACTTTGCCAATTACTGGTGCTTTAAAGTCTCTGCATCACTTTTCCTACTCTGAAAATGGGTGGGGTGGGGTGGGGAGGTCCTTAATTCCTTATAAGAATTAAAAGAGATAATGTAAATAAATCATCTAGTAAAGTACTTGCCACATAGTGGGTATTCAACAGATGTAGTCTTTTTTAATTGACCTTTATATACTAGTATAGATCTGACTAATTAGTTGCATTAAATGTGAATATAGCCAAAAAGCTGTTTCAAAATGTATTTGCAAAATTATTTATACACGTAAGCTAATATTTAAATAATTAAGTCAAAAGTGGGAATATGTAACTAAAGGAATTAAAATATATATATAACAAGGATTCTGATAGTTGATGATAGCTTGTTTCTAGATGGAAATTGCAAATATTTCAATCTGGGGGTTTAAATCTGCCACTTGATATTCTTCCATGTGTATCCCATTCTTTGGTTTCTTTTCTTCTGTGAGTTTTACTGAAGCATTTATTTATTTATTTATTTATTTATTTATTTCCTTTTTGTCTTTTTTCGTGACCAGTAACGGGATCGCAACCCTCGGTGTCGCGCCCATACCGGGACCGGCAACGGGATTGCAACCCTCGGTGTCGTGCCCGCACCGCACTCAACCAGTGAGCTGGACCGGTCTCTATATGGGATCCGAACCCTTGGCGGGAGCGCCGCCGCACTCCCAAGCACCGCACTCTACCGAGTGCGCCACCGGGCCGGCCCTACTGAAGCATTTAATACAAAGAGTACCAAACATACATATGAACATAGTGCAGGACTAATGTTTACTTTTCAAGGTTTCTTCAAAAGTAGGATCCTAATGAACTTGCTAGATTACATGTTTTTCTCCCTCCTCTGAACTCTTGTGTGATGTATTAGTAGAATAAGGAGAGGAGTATGTAGTAATATTATTTTTCCAGAATTGGAACAATGTAACCCAGAGCATCATTGACCTCTTGACACATGGGTATCAGTCTCTGAAGAGAAGTCCACTCCCTATAAAGCAGTTTCTGAATGATTGACTAAAGCAAAATAAAGAGGTGGGATTTCTACTTGGATTTTGGATTGTACATTTAGTCGACTGAGGTAGGCAGGTTAAATTTGGATTCATAGAAGACTCCTTTCCCCAGTAGATTTAAACTTTTTCAGTATTTGTTATGTATGAAAATGAATGTGTTGTCATTCATATTGGAGGATAATTCTGACTGGCTTGTATTTTGATTTCTGTTAGCATTGTGATGGATTCGTATGAAGCCTATAAGTCCTGGTTGTCTCTGCATTTTGGGTTAGAGAGCTTTCCATTAGACTAAATTTGATTAAATTCCCGATCTTTTTGTTTGTCATTAAAGGTATGTTAGAAAATAAATAAAAGTCAACTAGTAGGTCTTACACCAAACTGTGTTCCACCAAAGTTGGGGGATAAACACCAGATTGACAAATTTTTATTTTGTCAAGTATGGATATTTTTAAAATCCAGCCTCCACTCACTGTCACCATCATTTGATGAAAGAAAGGGTGTCTCAAGATCAAAAAAGTAGAAAAGGTGTAGTTTAAAATAAGGGTCAGTCATTCTGAAGAAGGAACAGGTTCTATGTTATTTGCAAATGTTTACATGTACAAGATGTACTATGTTATCCACTAAGGAAATAATAAAATAATGCCTCTTTTTGCTGTGCGCTTATGAAAACTTTGTTGCTGACCGGCATTTGGGAATAACTGGTATAAACAGAATAGCTGACTAGTTAGTTCAATTTTTGTCATTTGGTTGTTCTGGCAGCTCATAGGCACAAACTAAGATTTGGTATTAAAATCTCTAATTGTGCTGCCTTCCTGCATTTGAATTTTCTTCCCAAATCCAATAGGAAAATGTACTCCAAGTGTAAAGAAGTGATGAATAATTAACTCTGGTAGAGAAGAGTTCTGTTTTATACATTTTTTTCCTCCACATAAAACTTTGGTAAAATGCAGTCTCTCGATCCTTTTGCTTCACCTAATCTTTAAGAAGGTATTCTGAAAGTTTCACTAATCCATTTGGATTGTTAGGAATGGACGAGCACACACCCTTTGTGTTAGGGTGCATTTCAAAAGTGGCTTAAGTTTCTTGGTATAAAAATGAACTTACAGAATGACAGACTTATTTAGCAGAACTGAATGTTTTCCCACTTTTATTTATAACTTCATTGTTTATATTCTAACTTACATTCTTCCCAGTAGAGGTATGAATTCCAGGAGGCACCAAAACTTTAGTGTCATTTCTTCTAGTATCTACACTTCTGAGCTAATGACCCAAGATGACTTCTTAGTAGGTTTGTTTCTACCCTCTGAAAGCACTTTGATTTGGAATGTTCTGTGCATCAACAAAAGATGTGTTTCTTGTTGAAATTCTATTATTATTAAAATTGTAACTCTTGTTCATTGAAATTTCCCACAAAGCATTGGAAATTCAACAGTTTTTTACAGAATTTTTTGGCCTCCTTGTTTGGAAAAAACTAACAATGTGTTACTCACATATACTGTGCTTGAACGGAATTCAGAGTGGTTCTGTAGAAAAAGAGAGCTTTCCTACTTTAGGAGGATAAAAAATCTTTCCAGTTCTTTTTACCATTTAATGAGTGGCCCTGATTTAGATAATATATTGATTTTCCTCTTGGCAGAAAAGGCATACCCTAAAGAGGCTTCAGTAAACATCCAGGGATTAGTGTGAGGATTTGGGAAGTCTAGATATATGGGTTGGGCTCACTTCAAAAGGAGGGGGTTGCAAGTCTCCATAGGGCTAACCTAAGTGTGATTAAAAACTCAGCAGCTCTTCTCATGTGAAACCAGACCAGACCACTGACTGCTTCCTGGAAGGAATTCATCAGTAATTTATAAGATTTCCTACACCATTTCTTACCAGTTTTCTTAGTTGATTTCTTGGAGGTAATTTAAATTTCCGAGACTCTGTCCTTTCTCTTTGGTAAGTCTACTTGTTCAGATGGGCAGACAATATTATTTAAGAATGATGATTTTAAAGTATTGACAGCCTGGGCTTATTGCTTATATTACTTATATTACAGACTTGTTATTACATGACAAATAAAAAGTAAAAATAAGTGAATGCTTAATTTCTTCTTCCCTCTCCAAATAGAAAAGAACGCCCTATATCATTAGGGATTTTCCCATTACCTGCTGGAGATGGATTGCTTACACCTGACACTCAGAAAGGAGGAGAGACCCCTGGATCAGAGCAATGGAAATTTCAGGAATTAAGTCAACCGCGTTCTCATACCAGCCTGAAGGTAAGCTTTATTCTGCTGAAATTGCCAATTAACATGTCATAAACCTTCCTGTCCAAATTGAAGTACTAGACAACCAAATCATAATAAAGTGTAATAGTTTGTATACAGTTCAGTTTGTGAAATTGGTGTCTTTTTTAAATTGGAAATGAACTCTTCCCAAGGAGTGTTCATTTTTTACTATTCTATTTCAAGTTGTATAGGAAAGCAAAGCAAAGCATTGTTTCATCTTGATTAGTATACTAATGAGAAAAATTAATTCTGTTTGATTTAGGCTACATAATATGAATTTACGGTGGTGGTGACTAGTGAACGTAATTAAGCTTTTTAGAAATGAAAATCACTGTTACCTGAAATCCTTGTTTCACTGTAGGAAGCTCCACAGTTTTTTTGTTTTTGTTTTTGTTTTTGTTTTTAAAAAGATGACCGGTAAGGGGATCTTAACCCTTGACTTGGTGTTGTCAACACCACACTCACCCAGTGAGCGAACCGGCCATCCCTATGTGGGATCCGAACCCGGGGCCTTGGTGTTATCAGCACCACACTCTCCCGAGTGAGCCACGGGCCGGCCCAGGAAGCTCCACAGTTTAATAGGGTTTCATTTAAAAGCAAAACAAAACACTGTTCCTTCCTCAAAATCTCTTCATAAAGCAATGTACAAAAGTGCACTGTGTTTAGCTAAAAAGGCATGGTGTTAATCATTACAGACTATATTCTATATTCTTGACCAAGAACTTGTCATCAAATAAGTGATAATCAGTAGTACAGTGGAATTACACAAATAGTTAACTTTTAAAAAATAGTTAAAGTGTGTTCTGTATCATATAAAATATAATATTTATAAAGGCAATATTGATTATAAAAGAGCCTTTATTACACTATAAAATCTGCTGTATCATAAAACAAAAAGGCCACCTACAGTGAACAAAAGTGAATTGCTTGTATTTATCTCCTTTGCCTACTCTATTTTTCTTCATAATACTTGTCATGGTCTAAGTAGGTAAAGATAGCTCTTATGGTACATCTAAAATACTAAGTCATTTATTTGTTTACCTTGCTTGTTTTCTCAACTAAGAACATAAATTCCATGGGGTTTATTTGTTGCTGTATTCCTAGCACTTAGACAGGTACCTAGCAGGGCCGGCCCGAGGCTCACTTGGGAGAGTGTGGTGCTGATAACACCAAGGCTGCGGGCTTGGATCCTATAATAGGGATGGCCGGTTAGCTCACTGGCTGAGCATGGTGCTGACAACAACAAGCTGAGGGTTAAGATCCCCTTACTGGTCATCGTTTTTGAAAAAAAAAGAAAGGTACCTAGCACATTCTAGGCACTCAGAACATCTTTGTTGAATGAGTTGTTTTAGATGTTAGAAAGAATCTTTTGGGATAATATAAATGGTCTTTTTCTAGCTGTAGAAAGTAGAGGCATTCAGAATCATTCTACTGATCTTTGAAATGTGCTCAAAATAGTAAGCAGCCAATAAATATTTGGTAGCTTTTCTCCCACTGAAAAATATTTTTAACTATTTTTACCTCATCTTTTTTCCTTTCTTTACTCAATTTGTTAGAAGTTAATCATGCTCAATATTGGTCCACAGTGATGTCACTAAGAAACTGTCTCATTCTTTACTCCATTGGCTTTTTTAGCCTGCAAGTTTAATAGATCTTCGAAAACACCCATCTCTCAGTCGCCTACTTGCTGTGCAACTTTCCCAAAACAAAGTTAAGTAGTAGGGATACCTTTATTAGTACATCAGAAATATATACCATATGGTAGTTATATTTTAATTACTATCCAAAAGTGCACCTTAAGATTATTATAATTCTCTTGTTATTTAATCCAGTGACATGCTGTGACAGAACCTTACTGGCAAGTTATAAACTGATTAACAGATTATTAATGTATACTTAGCATAGGAGTTTTTTGTGTCCTCCCTAGAGATACTAAGGCAAATGCTTCCCAGACAGTTTCTAAAACAAAATCCTGCCTCTCTCTACTTGGTCTGGACATGGAGCCACTAAATGAGATAAAGTCTCAAAAGATATAAAGGAATAAGGTGGTACATTACAAAATGGCAAAAGTCCATCTTGTAAAGTGTGTCTACCAATTAGAACATATTTTATTTTTCACCTAAGCCCTTGTTATTAACCAGATGTCTTTCTCTAACTTTACAAAGGCCTAGGAGTCAGGGGTTTAGAGTTTATTCCTGGATCACATCATAGACGTGTCACATATCCTTTCATTTTGGTTTCACTGTGTGACAGGAATTGGATTAGACTATCTCTAATTTAAAATATCCTACAACTCTTTTTTTTTTTTCCTTTTTGTCTTTTTTACTGACCGGTAATGGGAAAGCAACCCTCGGTGTTGCACCCGCACCACGCTCAACCAGTGAGCGGGAACCGGTCTCCACATGGGATCCGAACCCTCGGCGGGAGCGCTGCCGCGCTCCCAGGCGGCACACTCTCCAGTGCGCCACCGGGCCGGCCCTATCCTACAACTCTTAACTCTTCTGAGAGCTTGGGGGATGATCTAGCTATGTTTAGGGCATGCTTTAACATTAATTTTACTAGCATAATTTTATCTTCTTTGTCACTATATTGCAAATTTCTCACTGTGAGAGACCTGTAGTCAATGAGATTATAAGTAATCCAGTGGATTTTCTAGTAATAATGCACCTAGAAAAGTGTACAAGTTCTTAAAAAAGGTATTTGTACATATTATTTATTGATTTATCACGTTCTTGTAGAGATCAACAAACAAATAAATGAAATAATAGAATTCAAGTATTGTTAAGTGTTGTTAAGAAAGCAAGGTAAGCTAGAGAGTAATTAGTAGGGAAACATGCTTATTTTAGGGTGATGAGGGAAGGCCTCTCTGAGAAGGTGACTTGCACCCTGACACGGGGATGCGCAGGTGAATGGAAAGGTCTGAGGAGTACGTGTTTGAGGAAGATGAGATAACAACAGTATCCTGACTGAGGTGGGGAAACACTTCGGCATGTTTGAAGAATGGTTGTTTTCTCTTCATCCCCCTTCTCTCAGACTTTCAGTCCTACCTACTGCACCAACATGCCTATTGTCAAGGTTACCAAAAGCATTCATCTTTCCAAATCTAATGGAAAATTCTCAGTCTTCACTTCACCTTTTAGCAGCATTTGAAGCATTTGAATACATTCAGCTTCTTGAAATGCTTCCTTCAGTTTGCTTCCAGGACAACCCCTCTTCCCCCACTTTCTCACTGTTTTTCTTTGCTGCTGTTTCTCTATTGCTGGTTTCTCTTCTACTTTCGGACCTCTAAATGTTGGTGTACCCCAGAACTTAAACCTCAGCCTTTCTCTTTACTTAATCTGGGTAGATCAAATTCCATTTCTGTAAATTTCATCCACATATCAATGTTCACAAATTTGAGTCTCCAATCTTGACCCCTTCCCTATAAGACCTCTGCATCCAATTGCTTTTTTTTATAGTTTCCACACATATATATGTCTTACCTTACTTAGATTACCACCAGTAAAAACACCCTCTTTCAAGGCCAATCCAAATGTCACGGCTTACATGAAGCCTCAGCTGACACCCTACTGATGGCCCTCAAGTCGAGTCTAGCAATCAGTTTGAGGCAGAAAACAGAGGAGTTTTATATTGCACCATTAACAGAAATTTCTTACTGGAGACTTGTAATGAAATTGGTAAAAAGAAACTCCTTGTGTTAAATGACCAAAGCTGTTCTACTGAAAAATGTATTATAAAAGTGCCGGGGCTGGGAATGGGCAAAAATGTTAAGGTGAGGCTGTTCATCTAACTGAAATTATGTTCATGAACAAGCTGCAAATAAAGAAAGAGTTGGAGAACAAAAGGACAAGTATAACCAAGACAATCCTGAGAACAATAAGGATAAGAACTTGCCCTGCCAGATATTAAGACTTCCTCTAAAGCTCTAAGTGCTAGGATAGCGTAGTATTGCTTATCTTCCCTTCCTCTTTCCTTTATACACAATTCAGTCCTAAAGCCATTAGGTAGGGTAGAATATGGTTAGTGTCTGCAGGGTGGGTGAGGTTGGTGGGTATCACAACCCAAGGAAGGTTAGGAGGGTATCCATGTGGGGATAGCCTGGTGTAGAGAGTCAGGGCCCCGGCAGTGTGAAGGACATCCCTGAAGAGGGGCATCCTGCCTTGGGGATGTTAGATCCTGAACAGGATGATAATAGACTCCCCAAGGATAGGTGGCAGACCTAGGGTGTCAGTCTGAGCAGATGAGGAAGGGCATCTATGTGTATGTGGTTGGGGAGAGAGGTACTGGGATGGAGAAGAAAGAGGATGCACAGGAAGAGAAGGGCATTGGTTGGGGATTGAAGTGGTGGAGAGGAGAGACTATTAAAAGACTTCAGCCCTGGAAGTCAAGGGGTAAGAGAATGGAAAAAGGGTTGTCTGCAGGGTCAGCTGGTATGGAGAAGTCAAGTAGAAATGAAGACTGAATTTGTAAATTTGTAGGTGTAGGTTTGAGCAGTTTGAGTTGCAGGGCCAATAACAGGAGTGAATGTGAATCAGAAAAAGAGGAAATAGCAAGTATCAACTACTCAAGAAAAGTGGTTGTGGTGGGAAGAGGGAAAAAGGATAACTGGAGGTAGAGGTAGGATAGAGGAAAAAGTACTCTTAGAATGGGAGACACTGGGTTTTTGTGTGCTTAGGAGAAGAGTTTAACAGAAAGAGAAATTGAAGACAAGGGAGTGAAGAAAGATAATTAATACATCAGAATCCTAGAAGATGGGCAGGGGGGAAAGGATCACGTATCCCAACTGCAGTTCAAATCTTTTTCACTGATGGGACACCTTAGTTTTTCCTTGTCTTTTGCTATTACAAACAATGCTGGAATGAATAAACAACCAAGGCCTGTAATACAGCATGAAAATTATATGGATGGGATTGTACATGTGTGTGTGCACACACATATGCATATTTCAAAAAAGTATTATTTTTTTCCTTTGAAGGGTATCCTGGATTGTT